TCTTAAGAAGTGATAGGAAATGGACACTGTTTAGCATTGGAGGCAAAGGCAAACACACTAAAGATAGTGGCCATTGAACAGGATGCAAGTCAGGGCAGGCATGACCAGCAGAGCTGAGAGGCAGAGCTGGAGATGGGCACCTTCATCATCACTCAGCTCTTTCTGTAGCTCATGCTGCTCAGCTCCATCCATTTACTTTGTTTCCCCCCAAGAGATAATGGTATTTTAATAAGTTTGCTTTAATGTACTGAATTAGGAGTTTAAAGACTTAAAAGTCACTTTTCCAGTGTCAAAATGTCAGTTTCCAAAAAGTTGCTGTATATCATTGTGGTATTGATATAAAATAACCTTTCTTTTATGGTCCTTAAAAGTATCTTGCAAAGCCTTCTGGGTTGACATTTTTAAATCACCATGTAAATCTGCCTGACAGGTGTCCTGCCCTGCTCTTCTCTTTCATGAAATGACATATGGCTAACTGTTCTATTACTTCTTCAGTGCCTGGTTCATATTGCTTGCTGTTTAGTTGATGGGAACTGGGGAGCCTTATTTAATTTCTCATGGTAGTATTTATTCATTTATTTATTTATTTACTCTTCATTTATTTATTTATTTATTTATTTATTTATTTATTTATTTATTTATTTTGGTCTGATGGCTTTACTTGACATAACAACATTGATGCAAAACTACTTCTGTCTAATTACTTGCAACATTTTTTACAAACACATAAAATATGCAATATTTACAGCATCTTCCTTTTATAAATGCAATGCTTTAAATTGCATAAAGTCCCATATTAAAAATAGTTTACAGATAAAAAGTACAAAAGTAGGAAAATGCCATTCATACCATTGCTCCCTGATGGAGTCATCATGTGGAATCATGATATCATGTAAGCATTTTTTTTTTTAGTTAATTGATTGGTTTGCATTTTTTAAAATAAGGTTTGCATTTTTAAAAACTGTCACAGCTTATTTTAAAGCATCTCTTTAAAATACTCCTTTGCCAACTTACAGTTTGACTATTATAGTTAGGAAAATGGCTTGCTTTCATGGCGTAGCTAATGTTTTAGTAGTGTGGTGTGGAAGAAGAGGATAGACTGTAGCCCAGCGCAGTGATGCTTCATGATTGTTAGCTCATGGTGTGAGAGTTGGTTGGCATTCCTTGTTTCCTTAGATCACATGCCTTTGTGGGAAGGAGACATTGCCTAAATACAGTGACTAAGTTTGAGTCTCAGCAGTGCTAATAGGAAAACAATGAACTGTTTTCTAATTAAAGACACCCTTATTTTTAAGACGAGCATCTGCTGAGGCTAGGCTCAGTAGTAGACCGCTTGCCTAGAGTGGGTGAGACAAAAGCAGAGCACGAGTTATTACAATAAAAATCTAAAGAGATCATCTGGTGATTCTCGTTTTCTACAGTCTCTCTAAAAGAGTCCCATGACACACATAGACTTTCATACTCTGGAGACTTATTTTTCTTTATTGTCACAATCATGATGAAAAGGATTTGTATGATTGTTAAATGGATCACCACATCCCTACTCTCCTGATGTGCTGGGGATTGAACCCAAGGTTTTCTGCACAACAGGAGGGCACTTTATATGGAGTTACATCCTAAGGTCATTCCACACTCACTCCAGTACTGAGGATTGAACCTAGAGCTTTGCACATGCTAGCCAAGCATGGCTGTCTCTTTGAGCCACACTGCCATCATCTGCAGTGTAGCACATAAACAAATCCATGGAGAAGGCTGAGGATGTAGTCCAGCATAATTTGCAAAGAGGCAGCCTAGTGCACAGAACTCACACCAATCTTGGGATCCGAACGTGCTAGGTCAGTGTTTGTTTTCACATATTTAATATAGTAAGTTTCAGAGCCTATTGTCCTATAAAAATGACATTTACAGATAAGGTGTGTAACATTACATGTAATCCATGAGGCTGAGTTAATCAGTGAGCATCAAGGAGATGTTTGTGGGTAGGTCCATTTCTAGCAGCGATGTTGTTATTTCTGTTCCTGGCATGAAAATATACATTGTATTAATGGATAGTTGAAAGCTATGGTGCAAATAAATAATAAGGAAACCAGTTAAGACACAGGGAAAAGGCCTGAATGGACACTTTACTTGAAAAAGGATTGGTTGTCAGATGAATACCTGAAGAGATGATCAACTTCACTAGTCCTTGGAAAAAAGCAAATCAAACCATAAGGAGCCATCACCATACATTTGTTAGAAGAGCTAAAATATTGTGATTGACAGTATTAAGTGCTATGAAGCAACTAGAACTCTCACATGTTTCTGTGAGATAGCCCATTTTGCCTTAGGTTGCTAGAGTCTTATAATAAGTATGCACTTGGCATATGACCCTAACTACTCAAAAGAAAAATGAAAACATAGGTGCATGAAAGTCTGTACTTAGATGTTAGTGAAAGCTTTGTTTACAGTTTTTAAGAATTGAAGATAACCCCAGTGATAATTTCATTGTGATTAGACAAATAAACACCTAAGCTATAGTATGTCTAATACAATGAAGTAATATTCAGAAAGTAAAAGGAGAAAGATATTAATTCAATCAAAAGGATGGATGAATCTCAAATATTCTATGTTGATGTGAAAAAAGCCAGGCTCAAGTAGTTTCAGGTGTGGTTGCATTTAGAAAGGTCCATTCTAGAAAGGAAAAACTATCAGATGGAAATCAAAGAAAGGCATTTTATAGTGTTCATCAGGAGTAGAGTTGGACGATGGAATTGACTACAGAGCGGGGAGTGTGTTAGATTGAGAAAAATGTTCTACATCCAGGTTGTGGTAGTGGATAGCCAACACAAATGCTGTCTTTATTTGTCAAAACTCAAAGAACTCCATGCCAGTAAAGGGTGGATTTTAACTATATATAAATAATATCTTTATAAACCTGAAGTATAAGATAAAGTTTTTTACATTTTTTTCTTTTAGTGCATAACAAGTAAGTTGTCAGGTTGTACTTTGAGAACCAGGGATGGGAGAGAGTTGCTGAGGAAGTGAGTGATACATAATATAAAGATGTCATAAATGAAACCTATTATTTTGTATGCTAACTAGAGAGAGATACATAGAGATAGATAGATAGAAAGATAGAAAGAAAGATAGATAGATAGATAGATAGATAGATAGATAGATAGATAGATAGA